AGCTGTGTATTATCTGAGTCGTACATTGGTAGGAGCTGAGTCTCGTTACCCGATGATTGAGAAAGAATGCCTTGCCTTGGTATTCGCGATTCAGAAAATGCGACATTATTTAGTTGGACAGACAATCTATGTCCCGGATGTTCTAAAATCTCCTCAGGAGTGGGGGTCGTTTTAGTTTCCCCGGAAAAGCACGTCTTGCCTAGAGCATATTCACTGACTGAACCATGCTCTAATAACGTGGCTGAATACAATGCATTAATAATCGGACTTAATTTCGCCAAAGAGCTGGGGGGTCGAATACCTTGAAGCTTTTGGAGATTCTCAACTGGTGGTTAATCAAATACGAGGAGAGTATGAAGTCAGAAATCGAGACCTGATTCCATACCACCAGGTGGCCATTGAGATGGCAAGTTCGTTTGAAGAATTTTTCATCGAGTACGTTCCGCGTCTCCAAAATACATATGTGGATGCATTGGCAGCATTGTCAGTATCCTTGGCTCAACCTCCCGAAACAGAGCAATTGATTACAGTGAGGACTCACCAGCTTATTGTTCCAATCTATGATTCGAATGCTAAAGAGGCATACTCAACAGGAGTTGAACCCGAAGTTCGAGATTGGCGCTTTCCCATTATCGACTACGTCTTACATGGTATATTACCTGAAGATGTAAGAGAAAGGGAATCGATTCGGCGAAGAGCGCCGAGATTTTATTACAATGCCACATCGCAAATGTTGTATCGACGATCGTATGACGGTCTTTTACTCCATTGTTTATCCAGCAAAGAAGCGGAACAAGCACTCAAAGAGACGCATGATGGGATATGCGGTGCACATCAGCCCGGTCCTAAACTCTGTGATCGACTTAGGAGAATCGGGTATTACTGGCCAACTATGGTAAAAGACGCAGTCGACTACGCACGACAATGTGAAGTGTGTCAGTTACATGCAAATTATATGCACCAACCTCCGGAGTATTTACACCCATCGGCGACATCATGGCCATTCAAAACTTGGGGAATGGATATAGTAGGTCTAATTTTTCCGCCTTCGGTTAAAGGGGACCGTTTTATTTTGGCAATCACCGACTATTTCTCGAAATGGGCAGAAGCAGTTCCACTTAGAGAAGTAAAGACGACTGATGTTATCAAATTTATCAAACACCATATCATATATCGGTATGGTGTGCCAAGGCGAATAGTGCACGACAACGGTCCTCAGTTCGTGAGCAACGCATTTATCAAGTTCTGCGGTAAATTCAGGATTAAAGACGTTTCGTCAACTGCTTATAATCCTACAGCTAACGGATTGGCCGAAGCAAAATTCTGGTAAAAAGGTCCGACGACGAAGCTTTAAAGAAGGAGATCTGGTTCTTGCCGTCCGAAGACCTATGATTCTCACTTCTAAGAAGAAAGGCAAATTTGAACCTAAATGGGAAGAACCGTTTGTGATAGAAACAGTCTATTCCAACGGTGCTTATCGCCTGATTACCCAGGATGGCAACAAATTAATGATGCCAATAAATGGGAAATTCCTGAAAAAGTATTATCCGTAATACGTTCAGGATAACCTATGTAAAACGGGAAGTTCCTAGAGAATCCTATATAGGATATTTCAGGATAACCCGATATCAGTTGATTATTCTAAATGAAAACTGATTATCTGAATGATCTGTTCTTAATTGTTATAAAAATAATTAAGATCTTTATATTACTTTTGTTGAGATGAGATTTAATGACAGTTAATCTTTCCTCACAAAACCCTGTAACATGATCACGGAAGAGGAGATTCGATAATTTGTAACCTCACACCATGAAACCTTCACCGATCGGATCGACCAATAGTCATCAATCCGTATCAGTCAACAAATTATTGTGTCAAATTCTTATGTTTGAAATCAAAACTTCTTATTGTGTCAAATTCTTATGTTTGAAATCAAAACTTCCCACCGAGTAGTTTGTGCAAATCAACGAACTCGTTGTTATTTGCACCCTACTCCAATTCCTCATCTGGTCAAACCTTTAAATAGTTAGGACCATAACCAAAATCCCCTCTCGATTCCTTCCATGAACGAGAGGTCCACAAAACGAGCGGTCAAACATTCCTACAGTTAGGATCGTCTTAAAACCCCCACTTGGTCAAACCTTACTACAGTTAGGACCACAGCCAAAATCTCCTTTCGATTCATTTTTGCGAACGAAAGGTCCACTTTTGAATTGAGTAATCAAACCTTATGACAGTTAGGGTTATTCAAACCAACCCAGATTCTCTAAGTGGATATTCCACTTTGAGTTTTCTTTTCACCAGGAGATAGAATATAAAATTCTTCCTCTCCGATTCTGGGTTTATCTCTACCAACAAACAAGAGACCAGGAGATAGAATATAAAATTCTTCCTCTCCGATTCTGGGTTTATCTCTACCAACAAACAAGAGACCAGGAGATAGAATATAAAATTCTTCCTCTCCGATTCTGGGTTCATCTCTACCAACAAACAAGAGACCAGGAGATAGAATATAAAATTCTTCCTCTCCAATTTCGGGTGCATCTCTACCAACAAACAAGAGACCAGGAGATAGAATATAAAATTCTTCATCTCCGATTTCGGGTTCGTTGTCCTATATAGGAAACGCAACCTACTCACACTTTAAAATCCATATCGTTCATACATGGGGGATGTTATCTCTATCCCTTATTAGAGATAAGCCTACATCTAACACATGTAGCCTACATATTCAACATTGTAGTCTAAAGTCTAAAAGAGTTTAATTCTTTTAGCCCAACGTCATATGTGAAACGGACCTAGATAATTCACATACTAGCCCGACTCAAACGGTAGTCGGTAAAGCCATATCAAATCCGTTGATGGCTGAGGATTTGCCAAAAATCCTATAAGTATTATGGTTATTTATTCTAAACAAGAATGAGTAATCATAATAAAATCTTAATAAGCAAAAGGATTCAATATATTGACCAAGAGTGTTCAAACAAAGCTAAAAAGAAATATATGTTCTCCAATTACAAAAGTTTATATTGACTAATCTGATTTTTCAAGTTTTGAAAGCTCTAATGCATAAGCATGTTCAAGCTCAGCCGCCAATTTAATTTTAAAGACTTCTTCGTCAACACTGTGAAGCGCGGCGACCTCTTGTTCCTTTTCAGCAAGTATTTTATCTTGAAGGCTCAGCACCCACTTTTGTAAAGGTGTTAGCTAGGTTACGTAAACCACTATGGAGGTCAGCAATCATGACGGAGAGAAGAGATAATCTGCCTCTGACAACTAGTTGCACGGCGGGAAAGAGAACTTCAAGAGGAAGCGCGTCGGAAGACTGATGCGGCACTACACATCTCTTTAGCCATATAGCCAGGTAGCCAGAAAGGAGAGTTTCAGGCCTCATTTTCTTTGTGGATTGCCACAAGAAGGTATTGAATTTCGTGCCCCTAAGAAAACCACCTTCGGATGACTCGGTTCTATAGGACTGGGCGTTAATCTTGGTAATCAGCACATTAACTTCAGAAGGAGTCAGAATAGGAGATTCGCAGACAGCTTCACCGGTCGGGCTCTCGAGATTCTGAAACAAGTAGTCAGCGAACTGTTTCAAACTGACTCGAGCCGCCTTCTTACTCTTCACCTCGATCTTGGCTATCGCTGTTTGATAATGACAAGTCAATTCCCAGAGGATGTCATAAGCAGGAGAGCCAGCCTTCTTCATCTTCATAAGTTGACGATTGTTGGGAAAATATTCTTGATAAGGAGTATTTCCCAGTGGCAGTCCAGATACCTTCATCATTTCGTGGAGCGGAAGCCCTAACTCCCCATACTTGGTAAGAAATGTATTGGTCTCCGGAATATAAGACTCGAACAAGGCCATAAAATGATCTACACTTACTGGGAGACCATGCATGCTGGCTCGGATTGAAGCATACAATCCCAAATTCCTTAACTCCCGATCCCAACGAGTGAGTACGTAGTTGGTCATCCTAGCCCACCATTTGTCTGGAAGAGAATGAACCCATCCATAACACCTGAATTTTGGAATGGGAAGTTCTCGACCAACCCGAGCGAGCTTATTCTTTACCGTGTTGGCCCTTATCATCAATTCATTCTGGGGCCCGCCATCTGGTCCGAATATTCCCGGATGAAGACCACGGATATTATGCCTACCGGTGGAGCCAGGAGCACTAACATCTTTACCAATGAATCCGCAATGAATGCGCTCATGATCTTCTGTCAGGTGCCACGTCATTTTCCTCGAAACAGCCAAATTCCTTAATTGCAGAAGGGAATACTGTCGAGGGAATGGAGGAAGGAATAGAAAAGCACCTTCGTGCTCATTCAACCAAATTTCAGGGCCACGGCAGAGATTGTCTGGATCTTCTATCGAATCTCCAAACAGATAATCAGGTTTCTTCAACGGTTCGGTAGAATCCCGAGTTGAAGTCAAGGGTGAATCAGTCAGCAGAGCACGCAGAGTGCGACGGCCTCCCTCGCGAATCAACTCCGGAACATTATTATCACGATCTTCACTAAATTGGCGGGCCTCTCTAACCAGGAAGTCACCGTTGAAAGAGGCATGAAGAACACCGCTCTGGCCTGGGTCTTCTCTATCAGAGAAGGCCACAGAGGGAAAGGGGACTACAAAGAAAAGTTGGAAAACAGTTGTGTAAAAGAGGCTAAACAGAACAAAACCTCGCTCTAAGTGACCGCGGCACCATTTACTGTCGTGCGTTACCGCGGCAGGGTATGTTGCCGCGTTCAGCCGCGGCAGCACGTACTGCCGCGGTAACTGAACAGCGACCTTTGATTCTGAAAAGGCACGAGTTCGCAAAAAACTCGCATCTTGACTGTGGTACATGTCTTGATTGAACAAGATATGTGTTGTGTAGTGTCAATCCTCTCGATGGAGGATGTCAACTCTTCCCGAATGTCTCTCAATGGAGATAAACGAGGCGATATGCACAAAATCAACAATTTCAGATAAGGAGAAGTTGAAGAAACTTACCCCCAAAAGAAGGAACGGCAGCCTCGACCTCCTCAGGTGCTGGTGCCGCCGATTTGCCCTTCGAAGCACGAGCCTTCTTTGGTGACATATTCAAACTGCCTCAAATAACAATGAAGTTAGGGTTTTGAGACAAAATTTCAAAATAAAAAGCAAAACTAACCCAAAAGCAAGGGATGGGTTCGGTTCTACCTGAGAATAGAGGGGAATAGATCCGAAAGATGAACACAGCAAAGGGAATCTCAAAATCTGAGGAAAGACTGTGAAACCCTAGATCTTGTTCGGAGAAAATCGCTAAGATCCGAAGAGGTGAAGAGAAGAAGAGCCAAGGGTTACCTTATATAGGGTACGGAAGAGGATTTGATGGGATTTCGAACTCAGAAAAGCGGGTAAAAGTGACCCTAAAAAAGACCCAACATCGGCCTTATAACCCGATTGGCCGAGCGCTGCGCGGCACTCGATGCTGCCGCGCTTTAGCGCGGCATTCTACGTCGTCGCGCACTAGCGCGGCACTCTATGCCGCCGCGACAACTGACATGACCGTGGTCCACTTTGTCGCGCAAGAATATCATGTATATACAACGATCCTTGGGTATTTGAACACATACATCTCCCGCTGTATTTGCAACATATACCCGAACACTCCGATGAGTATATGAGTATAAACTGCATCTCCTTAAACCTCCCAACGGGTATATGAGGTTTAACTATTTCCCGAACACTCCAATAAAGCATATGAGTATAAACTATTTCTCCATTCTTCGACGGCAGTTCAAATTCAAGACTTCGACAACGGTCACGCGATAAACGCAGCACCGGAGGAATTTTAGCTATTCTACAAGGCACTGAATAGGCTAAAAGATGAAGAAGTCAAGAATTGAAGCCATTCACAGACCATTCTACGCAATTTCCTCAACGAACTCGAATACTTGGTATTTGATAAATATTCATGAATATTCACGAATACTTATCGAATATCAAAGTATATTTATTTCGCTAAAGAGTTTAATTTTCAAATAGTATTAAAATTTATAAATAAAAATTATTTCTTTATAATATATGATGTATATATATTTAAATCAAAATTTTAATTAGAAAACAGATTTAAGATTATTTAAGTCTTAAAATCTATATATAAAACTTAAGTAGAAATGGTAAGTGGGTTAAAAATATGACATCATATGTGCAATAATACAAATAATAAGCTGTGATCAAATTTTAAACGAATATTTAATAGACAAACGAATCGAATATACATCTGGTTAAATTCTATTCGTTAATAAACTCGAATACTAAAAAATATTTGTTTAGTGATAAATGAACTATCGAATCGAATATGACCGAATAGTTATTCGAACAATTATCGAACCATTTATTAATTATTTGGTTCATTTCCACCCCTACCTATGACGCCGCGGCTTAGGCGCTGCAGCCTAGGGTGCCGTGGCTTTGGCGCGACAGCTTAAGGTGCCGCGGCTTAGGCGCAACAGCTTAGGGTGCCGCGGCTATTATAGAGGAGTGTTGTGGCAGTTACAAGACAGTTATACGATGAGTTTTGAGGCCCACGTGGCGATATATCAGAAATAGAACGTGTGCTGACGTGGACAAGCAGTTAAACCACGAAAAAGGTGGTTAAAGGTCGTGGGAGAACGGTTTTAGGCACGATGGAACGTTCTGGTAACTGCCTCTTTGGCCGCGGCAGCTTACACTGCCGCGCCAATAGCCGCGGTGTAGACTACAGCGGCCAAAGAGAAAACACTCGGTCAGTTATTTTGCCCCCGTTTCAACTGTGGTGCACTCAGACTCCTATAAATACCTCACTAGACACGAAATAAAGGAGAGAGCATTTTGAAGCAGAAGAGATTTGAGCTTTTGTTGATTTTGTGAGGAAGAGAGAGAATTTTCACCCTTTGACAAGCATCATTTGGTGATTCCTAGAGATCTAAGCTCAGACTTGATCTTTGGAAGAGCGAACATCTTACATCGATAAGATATTCGCTTTCAAATCTTTACTTCGATAAACGAAGGAAAGATCCACAAACACCTTCACGATCTGTGAATCGGTGGTCAACGAGCCAAAGCACTCCCGGCACAGGCAAAGTCCCACAAAGCAAGAGTTAATAAATAATTTCTGTGTTATTTTCTCGAAAGTTGTATTTTCGTTTATTTTCATTATAATTTCGTGTAAACAAATCAAAGTTTAATGGAATCGACAATGGAGTCAACTTTCGCTGAAAACATATGCAAGAGACCACGTTAATGGATTTATGCATAGAAGTCGATAGCCAACCGATTGTGTTTGAGGATGGAGCTTATTCATTGAAAATGAAAGAAGTTACTCGATGCAGGAGATCAAGTATTGGACGAACCGAGAAGAAAAGCAATTAAGTCGACTGAACAGATGGACAAGACGACAACAGCACAGACGAGTCGAGATGATGACAGGACGAGTCGACACAACCTAGCTGAGACGAGCAGACGACTCGAAGCGACAGGACAGGTCGACACGTGCCAGTCGACACGAAAGGCGGGACGACTCGACATGCTTAGTCGACTCAGTTCCAGTCGACACGAAAGGCGGTGCTAGTCAGGACGCCTCGTGTCGACTCAGACTTCAGATTAGAAAAGAGTTACTTATTTTTGGTTATTTCCTTTTTGGATTTGGTTATTTCCTTTTTGGATTTGGTTATTTCCTTTTAGACTTAAGAGTTTTTTTTATTGGAGTTAAGATAGATTTAGTTGGCTATAAATATTAGTTCCTTTTGTAAATTAGAATCAACTTTTCAATTAAGAGAATTTTCTCTTTATTTTCGTTCTCAACTTTGAGAAACTTAGAGCTTGTGGATTCAAGCTCATGAAATATTGGCTGTTGTCAGGGCTCGTCGGCATCAGAACGATATCCGATCGGCCTCCCCGTTTCTATGTCTGCGTCAAGTGGTATCAAAGTTTCGGCTTCAACATCCTCGACAATGGCAGGTGACGACGAGAAGGAGCTTTCTCTACAGGATCTTTTCGCGATGATGGATTCTATGGATGGAAGATTTGGCACGTTGGAGGCGTCTCTTCAGAACCTTCAACAAGCCATTGAAGGACTTACCCTTCACCTCAACAATGGGTTTAACTTCGCCGACGATCTTCACCTAAGCGAACCCAGAGTTAGGCTACCCCGACATCCACCCCCGTACAATCCCCAACCCTCTCCAGTTCATCCCCCTTCATATCAACCACATCCAAACCAAATCCCTCCATATTAGCCCCCTCCACATCATCCTCCTCCATATCGAACACCTCTGTATCATCCTCCTCCAAATCAACCCCCTCCACATCATAGACGGCATCCCAATCAACCCCCTTCCACATGATGATTCCAGTGACGAATGAGCAGACTATGGTGCCCAGTTTGAGGAACATTGGTACGACAACGTCTCGAGTGAAAAAGAAGGAGGGCGACCTTATGACAGAGGTCGGGCAGAGGCTTCAACCCTCGTCGTAATTATCACCGACAGGGCGGACATCACCACAACCAAGAGTACCACATGAAGGTAGAACTCCCTTCCTTTGGAGGAAATCTGGACATAGAGGCCGTCTTGGATTGGCTATACGAAGTGGAGAAGTTCTTTGAGATGGCTAATGTACCCGAAGCAAATCAAGTAAAGTTTGTGGCATATCATCTCAAAGGAGAAGTCACGGTATGGTGGGATCAAACTCAAAACACTAGGCGACGGCAAGGCAAATAACCAGTTCGGGTTTGGCGACGCAAGAAGCAGTTGCTACAAGCAAGATTTCTACCACCTGACTATCAACAAATCCTCTACAATCAGTTCGAACAATGCTGTCAAGGAATCCGAACAGTGAGCGTCTATACCGAAGAGTTCTTCCGTCTTACTTCTCGTTACGATTTGTCGATGAGCGAGGAACAACTCGCAGCCAAATATATCAGCGGGTTGAAGTACTTTCAAAAGAAGGTAGTCATCCACAATGTATACTCCGTGGACAAAGTCCACAATATGGCTCCAAATGCGGAAAGATTGGCCTATAAGACACCACCTTTCAGGCAAACCGATCAGGGAAGTTCGGCCGAGAAGGAAAGAGGTGAGTCGATAGGGCCAAGGATGATTGATCGGTCTAATCCACCACGATCAGTCGAGCGGTCGACAACTCAACCATCACCCCAGACAATTCAAGCAAATCAGTATGCCAAGCCGACTGCAGGAAAGTGTTTCCTATGTCTCCAACTAGGGCATAAGTCGAACGAGTGTCCACAGCGACGGAAGGTCAATTTTGCGGATTATGAGGAAGTCGAGGACGGACACACAGTATCAGAAAAAGAGTACGAGGAAGAGGTTGTTAAGATTGAGGGTGACAATGTGTCGTGTGTTGTTCAACGACTCCTATGCTCTCAAAAGACACCAGATTCATCACAACGACACCATTTTTTTTTCTAGGTGTTCGATAAATAACAAGGTGTGCACCCTCATCATTGACAATGGAAGCTGTAAAAATATAGTGTCAAAAGGCCTTGGTAAACTACTTGAAACTGCCGACTGAAACAGAACACGTGCCTTATACCATCGGATGGATCAAGAATGGTCCCTCCATGAAGGTGACCGAAGTATGTCACGTGTCACTATCACTAGGCAAGACTTATAGTGATTATGTTGCTTGTGATGTTGTTGTTGTGGATATGGACGCGTGTCATGTATTATTGGGACGGCCGTGGCAATATGATGTCGATGCTAAACATGGCGGCAAGAAGAACGAATACTTTTTCATATGGATGAACAAGAAGATCATTTTACCACCAATTTCACCCTCCCCAAAGAGCCCAAATGATCAAAAATCCAAACGTGTTTTTCTTTGTAACAAGGGAGAATTTCTGACCGAATCAAAGGAGTTAAAGCAGAGGTTTGCTTTAGTTGTTAAAGAAGAAGTGAAGACTTTCGTTGAGGTTCCGGAGAAGATGAAGATGCTGCTTAAGGAGTTCGAAGTGTTGGCTCCCGAGGAGCTGTCAGAGGGTCTTCCACCCATGAGAGATATTCAGCAACATATTGATTTCATCCCGGGTTCAGTGTTTCCTAATCTTCCTCATTATCGCATG